AAAATTCAGAAGAATCACAAGATAAGGCCAAAGTCACAGTCAACCCCTACGAACCTTCGATTCCCTTTCCACAGCGCTTGAAGAAGCAAAAAGTGGAGCAACAATACAAAAAATTTCTAGAAATCTTCAAAAAGCTCCATATCAACATCCCACTAGCTGATGCACTGTTCCAGATGCCTAGCTACGTGAAATTTCTGAAGGATATCATATCAAATAAACGCAAGCTGGAAGATCATGAGAAGTTATGCTTACTGAGGAATGTAGTGTCAGAATCCAGAATAAGCTTCCACCAAAACTAAAAGATCCAGGGAGTTTTACTGTTCCTTGCACAATCGGTGAAGTATATTTTGATAAAGCATTATGTGACCTCGGTGCAAGTATTAATTTAATGCCTTTGTCTGTTTTCAGGAAACTCAGTTTGGGAGAAGCTAAAGCAACCACTGTGACACTTCAGCGGCTGACAGGTCACTGACACATCCCAAAGGAATAATTGAAGATGTGCTTATCAAGGTTGAGAAGTTCATATTCCCAGTGGATTTTCTTATTCTGGACATGGAAGAGGACAAGGACGTCCCATTGATACTTGGCAGACCATTTCTGGCAACAAGGAGAGCGTTAATTGATGTTCAAAGAGGTCAGTTGATTTTAAGATTGGGAGAGGAACAGATATCATTCAATGTATTCAAGGCAATGAAACTACCAGCAGAATCTGACAGCTGTTATCAAGTTGACATTATTGACAAAGCAGTACAAGAAACATTCTTACTACACGGTCCATCTGATGCCTATGAGGCATGTATTGCACAATCCCAATCAATCCAGTCAGAGTCTTTTGAAGTTGAAACATGTGCAAGGTTTTTGAAGACCAACCCGCCATACACCCGAAAGAGGCACTTCGAGGAATTGGGGACGGGAAACACAAAGCCACTACCTTCAGTTCAGCAGCCACCAGTTCTAGAACTCAAGCAATTACCACCACATCTCAGATATGCATATTTGGGGGAGTCCGATACACTTCCAGTAATCATTTCAAATACGGTCAGTGAGGTGGAGGAAGAAAAACTGCTCAGGGTACTCAGAGAAAACAAGACGGCGATTGGGTGGACAATAGCTGACATTAAAGGAATCAGCCCTTCTCTGTGCATGCATAAGATTCTAATGGAGGAAAATTGCAAGCCAAGTATAGAGGGTTAGAGAAGATTAAATCCGAACATGAAGGAAGTGGTTAGGGCAGAGATATTGAAATTACTGGATGCAGGAATTATTTACCCAATTTCAGATAGTGCATGGATTAGCCCGGTTCAAGTGGCACCGAAAAAAGGGGAATCACAGTGGTGAAAAATGAGAAGAATGAATTAATTCCCACCCGAAGAGTTACGGGATGGAGAGTTTGCATCGACTATCGCAAGCTCAATGTAGCCACACGAAAGGATCATTTCCCCTCCCATTCATCAATCAGATGTTAGAAAGATTGGCTGGACATTCACATTATTGTTTCCTAGATGGATACTCGGGCTATAATCAGATACCTGTCGCACCAGAAGATCAGGAAAAGATCACTTTCACCTGTCCCTATGGTACTTTTGCTTATCGTAGGATGCCTTTTGGTCTTTGCAACGCCCCAGCCACATTTCAGAGGTATATGATGGCAATATTCTCCGATATGATTGAAAGGTTTATTGAGGTTTTCACGGACGACTTCTCAGTGTTTGGGTTCTCATTCGATGAATGTTTAGAGCACCTAAATTTGGTCTTACAGAGATGCAAGGAGACTAACCTGGTTTTAAATTGGGAGAAATGCCACTTTATGGTGCAAGAAGGAATTGTACTCAGGCATCGAATCTCATCAAAAGGAATTGAGGTGGACAAGGCAAGAATTCAAGTTATTGAGAAGTTACCACCACCTACATCAGTTAAAGGGGTTCGTAGTTTCTTAGGACATGCAGGGTTCTACAGGAGATTTATAAAAGATTTCTCGAAGGTCACTGAACCGTTATGTAATCTGCTAATGAAAGACGTCACCTTTGAGTTTAATGAAGAATGCCTCACAGCATTCAACACCTTAAAGGAGAAGCTTACGACAACACCAATAATTGTGGCACCAGACTGGGAACTCCCTTTTGAATTGATGTGTGATGCAAGTGATCACACCGTAGGTGCAGTATTGGGACAATGGAGAAACAAAATCTTTCACGTAATTTACTATGCAAGTAGGACTCTTAATGAAGTGCAAATCAATTATGCCACCACTGAAAAGGAGCTATTGGCTGTAGTGTATGCATTTGACAAATTCATGTCATATCTTGTCGGGTCTAAAGTTATAGTCTACACAGATCATGTTGAATTAAAGTATCTACTCACAAAGAAGGATGCAAAGCCGAGGTTGATTTGTTGGGTGCTATTGCTGTAAGAATTCGATATCGAGATACGAGATAAGAAGGGCAGTGAGAATATAGTAGCAGATCACCTATCCCGATTGGAGCCTGGGGGCAGATGAATTAGTGGACATCAATGAGATCTTCCCAGATGAGCAAATGTTGAGAGTAGATGAAGCACCTTGGTATGTAGATATCGTCAATTACCTGGCCAGTTCCATCCCACCACCGGACTACTCGAGTCACCAAAGGAAAAAGTTCTTCGCCGAATTGAAGTATTATTTTTGGGAGGACCCAATTCTCTATAGGCGGGGGGCGGATCAGATAGTAAGGAGATGCATCCTGAGGAAGAAGTACATGAGATTCTCGAGCACTGCCATTCATCTACTTATGCAGGGCACTTTGGGGCTTCAAAAACAGTTGCAAAGATTCTACAATCAAGTTTCTACTGGCCTACACTGTTTAGAGACACATTTGAGTTTGTTAAGAGGTGTGACAGATGTCAACGCACTGGGAATATCTCGAGGAGGAATGAAATGCCACTGAACAACATTTTGAAAGTGGATATATTTGATGTTTGGGGAATTGACTTCATGGGACCTTCCCCCCTTTGTTCTCAAATCAGTATATCTTGGTGGCAGTGGATTACGTATCAAAATGGGTGGAAGCAAAGATGATATGAGTAGCAAGGACTCTAAGCATTGGCTGACTGCTATGCATGATGAAATGGAATCATTGAGAAAGAATAAAACATAGAACTTAGTGAAAAGACCTAAGGGAAAGAGAGTTATAGATTGTAAGTGGATTCTTAAAATCAAAAGAGGTGAAAAAGATGAGAATGACATTTGATACAAAGCAAGACTTGTGGCTAAGGGTTTTGTCCAAAAAGAGGGAATAGATTTCAATGAAATCTTTTCTCCAGTTGTAAAATTTACAACTGTTAGAGTAATACTTGCTCTAGCAGCTCAATTTAATTGGGAATTGGATCAATTAGATGTAAAAACTGCCTTTTTAAATGGAGATCTTTAAGAAATCATTTTTATGGAACAACCTAAAAGTTTTGAAGTGAATAAAAATTCAGACTTAGTATGTCTTCTTAAAAAGTCACTCTATGGTTTAAAACAAGCTCCAAAACAATGGTACAAGAGATTTGATACTTTTGTACTTGGACTTGGTTTTAAAAGAAGTAATTTCGATACATGTCTTTATTGTAAAGGAAACGGAGGTGAGAATTCACTCTATCTTCTACTTTATGTGGATGACATGCTTTTAGCAAGTCATGACGTAAAGGAAATAGAGTCAATTAAAGACAAATTAAAGTCTGAATTTGAAATGAAGGATCTAGGTCTTGTTAGAAAATTTTTGGGTATCAAAATTAAAAGAAATAGAATAGAGGGCACACTAAGTCTAAATCAAAAATCTTATGCTTTGAAAATACTTGAAAGATTTGCAATGTTTGATGCTAAAAGTGTGAGCTTACCTTTAGCAGATCACTTTAAATTATCTAATGATCAATGTCCCAAAACAGAAGATGAGTTAAAAAGGATGGCTAAAGTGTCATATTCTAATGTTGTGGGGTCAGTTAGGTATCTAATAATTTGTTCTAGGCCTGATTTGGCATTTTCAATAAGTGTATTGAGTAGATACATGTCAAATTTTGGTGAGGTTCATTGGGAAGCTATGAAATGGCTTCTAAGATATATAAAAGGAACTTGTGACCTAGGAATTGAGTATAGAAAACAATCTGAGGGTGTTATCTTGGGGGGTTTCACAGATTCAGATTATGCAGGTGATAGGGATAACAGAAAATCAACTTCTGCCTATGTTTACACTTTATGTAATTCCTGTATAAGCTGGAAATCACAATTAAAAAATATTGTTGCATTGTCTTCAACTGAAGTGAAATTTATAGCTACTACCGATGCAATTAAAGAAGGAATTTGGCTAAAAGGACTTTTAAATGAATTTGGCTTCATAAATGATGTTGTCTTACATTCTAATAGCCAATCTGCTATACATTTGAGTAGAAATCATGTGCTACATAATAGATCTAAACATGTTAATGTGAAAATTCATTTTATTAGAGCTGTAATTTCTCAAGGTGTTGTCAAACTTGAAAAGATTTCTACTCATTTTAACCCTGCTGATGTTGGAACTAAAGTACTGCCTTCTTGGATTGTTTAAAGCAGCTTAATATAAATTGCTACTGATTTGTGTATCAGGTACCCAAGAAAATAATGTCATGACTGTAGGAATCACTATAAATGATACTGGAATCATTGTACCAAGGTGGAGAATGTAGAGAAAAATATTGTGGCACAATGATGATTGGGTTGGACTATTAAAACTTATGGGCTTGTGGGTTAGATCATTTGATCACTTGAGCTGTGCTAATCGGCTTGGCATAAAACGGGTTACTGAAACCCGTTTTTCTTTAATAAGAACAGACGCTCCAGATCTTGCCAAATGTCAATCTTCTTACCATTGATGAGGAACCTTCTAGCTCCTTTGATATTAATCTTGCTTCTAGGTTTTGAGAGGCTGTGACTTTTCATTTTTACCAGCTCTCTCTCTTTCGAACTCTCGGTTCTCTCTCGATTGTTTGTTCTTCGATTCTCCTTTGCACTCAAAAAGGCCCCATGTAGATTTGATTGTAATTTCAGCCCCATAATAGATCTTGAGTGATTTTATAGGGCGTAATCCTTGAGTGGATACTCTAATATGCAGTGCAGGTTGTTGTGTGCGAAATCTTGATGTGATTTCGCCTGAGTGCCAATGAACTGTGATCTGTAATTTTTTGGAGATTCCGATTAATATAGTGATTCCTTCCGGTGGCGGAAGCTCAAAAGGGGATTAGGAACTCCAGTTCCGAACCTCTTGCCTTATGGCGAAAATACCGTGTTCTTTGCGTTTTATTTTTATGTTTCTTTCATTTGCAGTTTATTATTTCTTATTTTTGTGAAACAAAGTAGGCTGATTTTCTTGAACTTATCGTAACAATTATAATTATATACAGAATTCTTACAGTCACTTAACCTAAGGAGTTAAAAATGAGGCCGGAGAATTCTTTGGTTGGCCTTCTTGAGGGGTTGTGTAAAGATATTTTCCACAACCAGCTTTTTAATCTCCACCCATTTTTTTTATTCTGGTTTATTATGAAAATAGTTAAAAAAAAGTAAACAAAAATGACATAATGGGATTAAAAGGTTGGGATTGGTTTAAGAAATTTTGAGGAGACTGCAAATATTTTTCTGTTAACAGAAGGTTTTTCATATTTGATGTGTAATATTTTTAAGTAGATAGGATTTGGGCACAATGAATCTGGACTTCCAATGGCAGATAGAGGTACTGGCCAGCTAGGGCAGCCGCCCTAACTGGATTCGTCGAAATCGCCGGCTGTCGGGAGCTCTCAGATTTCAGATTTCGTTGGCTGTGGGCTCACTGTCGCTCTTTCAAATTTTACATTTTGGGTTGGGCTTTTTTTTTAATCAAGCCCAAATCAGCATTCTCCAAAACGCATACAGCATAACTAGATTGTCAATGTTTTGAAAATCGGCTTGGATGTTGACTTGGAAAAGCTAAAGAGTCAAGGGTTGAAAGGTCAAATCGGGATTAAACCGGGGTCAAACCGATTTTAATAAATAAATAAATTTTATACCACAACAACTGAAAAAATTTAGTTAATTTCAAATTAACTTAATATGCATAGACAAATGCACCCATTAATGGTTAAATTTGGGTGCATTTAATTTTTTATTTTATTTTATGGTGAATTGTTTAAGACTTTCATAGTATTTTATTGTGTTAATATAATAAAAT